CTGTATAATTTAACTTGAGGAACGAGACAGCATTGCATCAAAGCAGTGGTTTTCAAATTTCCTAAGTCACAGAACAACTTCTGCTGCGGAACCCCTACCCCTATCCTAAAGACCCATGTGGAGACAAGCAACCCAGCTCCACAACAGTGGTGCACTGCTTCCCAGACCACTGTGCCATTATCCCCAATCTCTTTGCAGAACTCCTGATAACTTATCATCACAGGACCCCAGGGTTCCACAGAACCCAGTTCAAAAACCACTGCACTAAGGCACCACCACACTTAACCAGTATGACGTAGGGGTGCTGGTAAATTCTTAGAGCCAGAGCCTATTGCTCTATGCATACTACCACACTGAACTAGCCTGCCCTGATTTTAGGAAGTAGCAAATGCAAAACAAGTGAAGCATAGCATGTCTCAGTACAGTGCTGCCCAGCACCATAATTGAGCAGTATGGACATATGTTTTGACTACTACTGGAGAGTAGTACTTCCAATGGTTAGAAGGAAACAGCTTTTATTAGAGACTCTTGAAACACAGGACTACTTGATTTTACAAGCTTACTTTTGCAAGGGTGCACACAAAAATAGAACCATTCTCAAATATCCCTGCTGTGGCTCTGACACCATGGACTGGGAGTGAACACCCAGTCCAGCTGACTTCCTGCCCTTTGGACAGGGGGCTGGACCTGATGATCTCACAAGGTCCTTCCAGCCTAAACGTCTATGAAATCTATACTTTCAATTGATGTGCTTTTAAGAGAAAGAGAAGCTGAAGCCCATAGAGATCAATCAAATACATAGAAAATTATCTACAATGGAAACCTAGCAGGGACCTAGCAGACCTCCTGAGGCTAAAAAGAAAGGCCTACAAAGGATGGAGGATGGGAGTCACCTCCAAGGAGGATTATTCTGCACTGGTCCGGTCCTGTAGGGAGCAGACCAGGAAAGCCAAGGCTGCAACTGAACTCCAGCTAGCTTTGAGCATCAAGGACAATAAAAAGTCCTTTTTCAGATATGTGGGGAGCCGAAGGAAAAGCAGGGGCAACATTGGACCCGTGCTGAACCAGATGGGGCAACTGACAACTGACGCCCAGGAAAAAGCCAACCTATTAAATAGGTACTTTGCGTCGGTCTTTCATCAGTCCCATGGGACGCCCATGCCAGCTACAGGGCTGGGAAGTCCGGGTGAGGGTGATCCCCTGCCCTCCTTTAATGCTGACTTTCTGAAGGAACATCTTGAGAAGCTGGATACCTTCAAGTCAGCTGGCCCTGACAATCTTCACCCCAGGGTACTCAAGGAGCTGGCGAGCATCATAGCCCAGCCTCTAGCATGGATCTTTGAAAACTCTTGGAGCGCTGGTGTAGTGCCCAAAGACTGGAAGATGGCCAATGTGGTGCCTATCTTCAAGAAAGGGAGGAAAGTGGATCCGGCTAACTATAGGCCCATCAGCCTGCCTTCTATCCCAGGGAAGATCTTAGAAAAGTTTATTAAAGAGGCCATCCTTAATGGACTGGCCGACATCAACATCTTAAGGGATAGCCAGCACGGGTTTGTTGCGGGTAGGTCTTGCTTGACCAATCTCATTTCCTTCTACGACCAGGTGACCTATCACCTGGACAAGGGAGAAGAGATTGATGTCATATATCTTGACTTCAAAAAAGCCTTCGATCTGGTGTCCCATGATCGCCTCTTGGAGAAACTGGCCAATTGTCGCCTTGGGTCCTCCACGATCCACTGGCTGGAAAATTGGCTCCGGGGTCGGACCCAGAGGGTAGTAATCGATGGAAGTCACTCATCGTGGTGTCCTGTGACCAGTGGGGTCCCCCAAGGCTCTGTCCTTGGACCCATACTGTTCAACATCTTCATTAATGATGTGGACACTGGAGTCAGAAGCGATCAGAACTGGCCAAGTTCGCCGATGACACCAACCTTTGGGGCAAAGCATCCACACCAGAAGACAGGCAGGTTATCCAGGCTGACCTGGACAGGCTCAGCAAGTGGGCGGACGAGAATCTGATGGTGTTCAACGCCGATAAATGCAAGGTTCTCCACCTTGGGAAAAAAAACCCGCAGCATCCTTATAGGCTCGGCAGTGCTATGTTGGCTAGCACTATGGAAGAAAGAGACTTGGGGGTCATCCTTGACCACAAGATGAACATGAGCCTGCAATGCGATGCGGCGGCTAGTAAAGCGACCAAAACGCTGGCTTGCATCCATAGATGCTTCTCAAGCAAATCCCGGGACGTCATTCTCCCCCTGTACTCGGCCTTAGTGAGGCCGCAGCTGGAGTACTGCGTCCAGTTTTGGGCTCCACAATTCAAAAAGGATGTGGAGAAGCTTGAGAGAGTCCAGAGAAGAGCCACGCGCATGATCAGAGGTCAGGGAAACAGACCCTACAATGACAGGCTGAGAGCCCTGGGGCTCTTTAGCCTGAGAAAGCGCAGGCTCAGGGGTGATCTGATGGCCACCTACAAGTTTATCAGGGGTGACCACCAGCATCTGGGGGAACGTTTGTTCACCAGAGCGCCCCAAGGGATGACGAGGTCGAATGGTCACAAACTACTTCAAGATCATTTCAGGCTGGACATAAGGAAGAATTTCTTTACTGTCCGAGCCCCCAAGGTCTGGAACAGCTTGCCACCGGAGGTGGTTCAAGCGCCTTCATTGAACACCTTCAAGATGAAACTGGATGCTTATCTTGCTGGGATCCTGTGACCCCAGCTGACTTCCTGGCCTTTGGGCGGGGGGCTGGACCCGATGATCTTCCAAGGTCCCTTCCAGCTCTGATGTCTATGAAATCTATGAAACCTACTTCCAATGTTTTAGAACAAGACTTCAGTGCTGACCTTCAGCATCAGCTGAAAGAAAAAGGGACACATCTAGAAGTTGCAATAAATTGTTTGGTACTGAAGGGTTAGAAACTTCTGACTTGCTTTTGTTTCCTCTCAAAAAATATGGCTTGATATGGCTTCTATTTTAAAGTTTTTAAGCTTCTCCTTCATGACAGCTTGAGGCTAAGACTGCCTAGAAAAAAGGCAACGACCTGAAAATCCCCAAGCAGAAAAGCCAAAGAATCAGAGCTCAATAACAAAACAGAGCGTCAGAAGATGGTCTTTGCTGTGGCATCATTTCTAAGAAGTCCCACAAATAGAGACCTCTCTCTTTCAAAAATCTGGAATGGCCCCATTCCCTTAGGCACCACAAAGATTTAAGGATGCTTCTCACAAGAGCATAATCTGAATCAACTGTCAAATAACACCCCCCCCCCCCCCCCCCCGCCATACCTTTCTCGCCCCTTAAAATTATGCGTATACTGCTATCAGTGATGGTGCCGAGTCTAGTCTGAGCTGTAAAAGCTGGCAAATGATGGCTCTTAGCCTTGAAAGAACTCCACTGCCTTCTTTCCTGGAGATGATCTGATACCTTTGGGAGTCTTAAGGGGTTGAAGACCTTGTCTCTACTTCAGACAGATATTAAGACAAGGTCTTGATCCTGAATATGTCGGATCCAAAATTCACAATGCAGAACACCCCTCAGAAAAAATCTTCAACTTGGATCCTCTGATAGAGAAGGAGTCTGTCTCCAAAAGGAAAACTTGTCCAAAGATGCAAAATGGCAAATATGCCCTACAGCTGTACAGGCTGAAAGTTCCCAGGTAAACCCTTAGACAAGGTATGAATGTTAACAAAATCTCTCTCAGCAGTGAAGAGAATCTCTTTTGTTCTTATTATCATTAGGGCAACAAAACTGCACGAGAAAGAGGCCCTCAACTTACTAAAACCCAGCTTACAAATGAAAAGCTTTCAACTAGCAATGGCTGTGCCTCAGTTCAACCTCACAGGCTTCAATACTGCCACTGCACAATACTGCAAGACAAGAAGCATACAATTCTAAAACTAACAGCCAGTTATATGTAGGGTACAGCTTTAAGTCTTGTAACTGCAGACCAATAAAAAGGAAACCAAGCATATTTAGATTCTTTATACTCTGAATTCCAGAATAATGGACCAGAAGCATGAAATGCGCATGCATCATTTTTGCTTCTGTGAATTGTTTGGTGAAAGAGAATGTAACTCCAAAAACAAGGGAGGAATAACCTGCAGCATCCTTATAGGCTCAACAGTGCTACACTGGTTAGCACTACGGATGAAAGGGACTTGGGGGTCATGACTGACCACAAGATGAATATGAGCCTTCAATGTGATGCTGCGGCCAGTAAAATGACCAAAACACTGGCTTACATCCATAGATGCTTCTCAAGCAAATCCCGAGACATCATTCTCCCCTTGTACTTGGCCTTGGTGAGGCCGCAGCTGGAGTGCTGTGTCCAGTTTTGGGCTCCTCAATTCAAAAAGGATGTGGAGAACCTTGAGAGAGTGCAGAGAAGAGCCACGCACATGATCAGAGGTCAGGAAAAGAGACCTTACGATGACAGGCTGAGAGCTATGGGACTCTAGCCTGGAAAAGCACAGGCTCAGAGGCGATCTGATGGCCACCTATCAATTTATCAGGGGTGTTCACCAGGATCTGGGGGAATGTTTGTTCACCAGAGCACCCCAAGGGATGACAAGGTCAAACAGTTATAAACTCCTGCAAGACCATTTCAGTCTGGACGTAAAGAAAGAAATTCTTCACTGTCTGAGCCCCCAAGGTCTGGAATAGCCAGCCACCGGAGGTGGTTCATGCATCTACATTGAACACCTTCAAGAGAAGTTTGGATGCTTATCTTGCTGGGATCCTATGACCCCAGCTGACTTCCTGCCCCTGGGGCAGGGGGGGCTGGACTCGATCTTCCGAGGTCCCTTCCAGCCCTAATGTCTATGAAATCTATGAAGGAACCTGCGGAACCAAATGAAAAGGTGGAACAACATTCTAAAACACTAAGTGTATTTTCCAGCAATAATTTAATCTCAAGTATACCGAAAAACAGATTAACTGAACAGCATACAATGCAATACCCATTGTACCAATAAACCAAACAGAAATATTTCAACTTGCCTTGAGCGCTGAAGACTTCGAGGGGAGGCAGGCTCATGACCTGCCTGCTTATCAGCTATCACTGGCTGCTGAGGTGCTGACTGTGAAGCTGGTCCTTGCTTAACACCTGGAGTAGTAACCTGCAAAGTTCAAAACTTGGGTCAGATCTCCTCCATACTACATCCCAAATACGTAAAAATAAAAACCTGGTACAATCAGGTGAGCACTCTTTACTCCACTCTTATCTGGCCAGTACTTTAAGTTGCACAGGAAAGCAAAATAAATCCCATCTCTTTGTGGAAGCTTTATACTAACAATCATTTCAAGCCAATCATACTCACATTTTTATATGAATAAAAATCATCTGTCATTCTGTTCAACCCAAAAAAAACAGTCAGGTATTTTACATCATCTTTCAGTTGTTACCAAGTAAAAATCAAATTCCAACTGTCCATTTTCTCAATTAAAAATTAATCGTGTTTAATTTTAAGTCCTCTGTTACTGCACTATATTCTTCACTCTGAAGTTCACTGCATGTTAACAAACTACAGCCTGTTTTTAGCTCTAGCTGTGCTTGCTTCTTCCTCAGAACTGGGCTGTGCACAGACATTCTGGGCAGTTACACTGGTTTAAAAATGGCCACCTGATCTACCTTAGTTCACCCAGGTGAGGACCATATACTAGTTAGGTGGATTTAAGTGTGAACTGTACAGAAGCTCAGGACAGTTAGATCAGTCTAAAAATGGCCGACTAAGTTAACCCTACCTCCAAGGTACACTTGACTTGGATATGGTTAGCCATTTTTAGACTGATCTACTGTCCTGAATTTCTGTACAGTCCCTAGCACAACCCCAGGGCTAAGAAAGCCCAGTTGTCAGCCCCAGGCCTGAGGCTGTGCTTTTCCTATACTTTCCCTGGCACTGGGCTACTTTTAATCTATCCCAACCATGTAGTTAGTCCAATAAAAGATATTGCCCCCGCAAAAAACCCCCTTGCATCTTGTATATATCAATTTGAAAACAGTGGTTGATGTAAATGAAAGCTTTTTTCCAATAATTCCTTTAAGATGAGCCTCTGCATTTTTATCCTCATGAAATGAGAGCATCTGCATTGTGACCTACTAGAATCTTCTATAGATCACTGTCAACCGGGGACACTTTTCTTCCTCTCACACACTCTCCTGCTCCTGCCCCCACCCATTCCAGTGATTCCTTCAATTCCTTTAATTTATGTAGGAATGCCTAACCTAGAATGCTACAAAAATGAGAAAAGGTGGGTAGGGATTGCAAATACATAGAAATTCATCTCAAAGAAGAGAAATTCGTTACTTTACAGTACTTCACAGAACCAAGACATGGATCTTAGTACTACAAGCTGATGCTCAGGGAATAAGATGCAGAAGAGGTACCCTGAATGAGAAATGCAACCTGTCAAGTACCAGAACGTACACATGCTCAGATTTAAGCTTTCACCAACCACATTTTGTTTGGACATCTTTTTGAGACGTTATCTGGTGATGAGCAGGATGCAGAAGTATATTTCCTTCCGGTTATGACATTTCATATTTCACAGAAGAGTGGAAAGATGGAAAGCTCTTCTGGGCAGAAATTCCTTTTGTGGCAAGGTATACTGCGTCTCTGCTGTGAGATGCAAATTCACTCCAACAATGGCAAGAGCCTGGTGTTAGCATATCAGGTGGTAAAATGCTTCCTTTGTGTAAAACTCAGCATTTCAGGTGGTAAAATGTTTCTTTCTTGTAAAATTATGAACTTTTCATTTTAAATAATGGCTAAAAGTTGATATCATCCATGCATCAGGTATCCAGGTTGTAGCTGTATTGGTCTAGACGCAAAGGGAATCAAAACTCGTGGAAGAGGTGATATCTTTTATTAGACCAATATACTTTTACATCCTGCTTGCCCCTGAGGTAAAAAAAAAATTTTTTAACCTTTCTCTGTGCCTAACCTGAACAAAATGAACCATTCCAAACAGGAGACTTTTTACCCTACCTTCAGCTCTCCTATGAAATATGAATTTTCATTTCTACCTAGAAGAACTTTTACAATCTCTGCTCTCTCCTATGCCTGAAAACCAGTATATTATCTCCTCTGCCTGATGAACGGCAAGCGTGTCCAAGAGCTTGCAAATAAATAAAATAATTTGTTTGCAAATATCTAGTTGGTCTAATAAAAGATATCACCTCTTCCACAAGTTTTGATTCCTTTTGCCTCTAGTTCAATATGGCTACAACCGGGATACCTCCCAGAAGTGACACATTCCTTCCAGGAGAAAATTCTTCCAGGTGTCAGTCAACCTCGAAGATCTTCTGAGCAAGAGAGAAATATTTTGCAAGGAAGAACACCTGTACCATTTGCCCAGAACCACTCTTGGCACATACTTCGGAAAAGTCAACTGAAAACTAGAAGGCTCATATCTTCAGTGGTGAGTTCTGGAAGAGGGCACCTTTAAACCATAAGGAGTCCGAAGCATTAACATTAAATCCAAGAGGAAAGGCAAGCTCAAACAGGTTACAGCTCACAGGGCAAGGCGCTAAACAGGGTCTGAAACCCAAGTGTGTGTTAAGACCCTAAGCCAGGGGCAGAGCCTAAACTGGCTTAAGACACACAAGGGATCCAACACTGGAACCCCACACAATGGTCTGCGACCTGCCAGCAGAGGGAACTGACCAGGTCTGTTATACCCACTAACAACAGAATGAAAGAAAACAAGGGAACAACATAAACCATGAATTCATTGTACCGTCAGCAATTAGAACAAACTTGGACAAATGGAGCTGCTCCCCTTTTAGCACCTATGAAATGCTCCATGCTGGGAACAAGGGAGGCACTTAGTGATACTGATACAACACTTCAGAAGACCACACTGACTCTCAGTCACTTTGATACTTACTGATGATATGCAATAGGACTCTGAACTCAAGATTAACAGAGTTTACCTGAAGCAAAATAAAAAACCCCAAAACACTGAGGAAAAAGTCTCCTCAGTCCATTTTGCTAAAAACCTGATATCACTTTGCCACTACAGAAATATTGATTAATTATATTTGAGGACCTTATATTATTTTAAAATGAATCAAGGATTGAAGGAATGTATTTTTGCTTATATTTTACTACTTAAAGAAACAATTTGATTCTTCAACAGTAGTTCAGGAGTTAGCGCACGCGCCGGGCGGGGGGGGGGTGTCCATCCTTCAAGCTTGGCAGTACCTAGATCCTAAAGGTATCAGGGCTCAATCTAAGCACTGCAAAATCCAATAATAGACAACAATGGGCAAGAGAAGCATAGCAAAAATTATGATTAGGCAAAGAACAGAAGTCATCCTATATCCCCTGCTTAACCACTGCCAAGCATCGTAGGACAAAATTGTAGCAGGGATCTGAAGATTTTCTACAGGAGCTCCTTCCATACATAAAAGGTGGCCTCTTAGAAAACATGAAGTTGTACAAAGGATAAATGAACTAATGGGCAATGAAGCTGGTCATCACTAATAGAGTAGAGGCTAGAGTCATTGGCTCAATCGCATTCAAGAAATAAAATGTATAAGGCTAAATCTTACAGGTGATGAAGTTTCTGATGGTACGTAATGGGGCATCCATTGAAAAGATATAAAGGGCAAATAGGTAACATTTTAAGAGTAAAAAGCACAGATCTTTGACGACACTTGAATAAATTTAAGAGGGATAAGACAGTATGCAAAGCCAGAAGAGAGGAGGTTGCAGTAGCAAGGATATGAAAAACTAGACAGCCTGAAGTATTTCACTGCAAACCTAATATCACCTCTTCCAGCTAATCCTGTCCAGGGCCTCAAATTCATCAAATCAAGGACACAACCTGGACTTTTGAATCAATTCCTCAATTCTACAATTACTTATGCCCTAGTACATTTAACACCCTCCCCCCGCTTCCTTGTTTTAACTCTTTTCAAGCAGGATGGATAAAAAAAATAATTAATATCTAAGGTCCAATTTGTTTAAACCAACCAATTTAAAATTATGACAACTTTGTTATGGGCTAATTTTCCTTTAATCTAGTAAAAAGTGATATTTTCCCTGGCAGTGTGTTTTCTGTTGTTTCAAAAAAGGCAAACCACTGCCTTGGCACCCAGATTCTGAGTTTCTTGAATTCTTACATATAGCTTTCAACAGCAGTAGCTAGAGGGTTCCCCCCCCCCCCGTTCCAATTACTTAGACTAGTTCAGTTTAATTACAAATTCAAAGTTGGAAAATCACCTCAGAGAGAAAAAAACAAGCTTTCCTGCTTTTTCTTTTTCAAAGCAAAGCAGAATTAAAGTAAATGTTTTTAATCAGTTTCCCGCTTGCTGATTTAAATCCACTTTCCTTTCAATACAGAAAGTTTAGCCTATTAATATTTTGCAGTTATACTATAGCAATTCTTGCCTTTATAGTCTATAATAACATTTGGAATAAAAACAATGAGTTGCCTGCTGA